TAAAAAATAGAAAATATATTAAACAAAATTTCATGATTCTTTGTTAGGATATTTTATCTATAATTAAAATCTAATATATTTTTTTATTAGACATTATGGTTTGAAGAAGAAAAAGAAAAAGTTGAAGATAGAAAAATAAACGTGAAAGGAAAATAAAAAAGAGGAAGAAAGAGAAAGAGGGAGAAAAAAGAAGAGAGAAAAAAGATGGAGAGAGATTGTCGCCGGCTTTTTTTTACCGAAGCGAAAATTGTGGATGCTCGAAAACTTTCGTCATTTGTTTCGGGCAGCGGGCTTTTGTTGGTTATTTGGTGTGGACTTGTTGTTATAAGATAAAGAGGCAATATTATTTGTAAGGTTATTACTATCTCCTATTCTTATTTTTAATATATGTCGTTTTGAAAAGTTGCACATTAATAATTATTTGTAGGTTATTACTAACTCCTATTCTTATTTTTTGTCAATAATATTTTTGGGGTTTCGACCCTTTTGGGAGGTTATACTTATGTGGAGGCAGCCGGGTTGCGCCCGAGGAGAAACCGAGGCTATGTGACGGCACTTGCGAGAAAGAGCTTGAAAATGTATGGTGAGATTACATTACCTCCTTCAACTTCTATGAGATCCCTTCCTTGGTTCTCTTCTAGTGAAGGTGTGCTTTTATGCCTTTTTGGTTGTTTTGTCTTGTGGGATGTCACATAATCGTTTTCATTAATGATAACGAAAAATATCGAGGAATGTGCTGAAGTAATTTTTGTCACGAAAGTGCACTATGCTCTGCACGCAGAAAAAATTGTTTTTAATTTTTCTTACGGTCGAGGATTTTTGTTTAGTGATGGTAAGGAAGCTGATACAATGAAATGGTTGGTGTCACAGTCAATGGACATGATTTGATCATCACACACTTGCTGAGTTTTTACGTCACACTTGAGAGAAAAGATGATACTCGGAAAGTTTTCGAGTCGTCTGAAGAAGTTTCATTTGGCGTCACAATATAACTATAACTAATCTATATAAAAGCCTCTTAATTCTTGAAGCTGTAAGCTTGATTATACGATTGCGTTTCACAAAATACGGTGTGAATAAAGGTAAATATTGTGGACCTGATGGATCCAGTAATGTTGGCTAACTACGGATTTATCTGTCATTAAAGGTACCAATGGTAACTACTGAATCTGGTTTGCAATACAAGGATATTAAAGTTTGTAATTGACCGAGTCCTCCCGTTAGATTTCAGGTATATAGACAAAAAAGCAACCTAATCGGTGCAAGCATTAGATCTCATATCTCGTGAAATTTTGAAATTTCATATTTTCTTTTCACAACATTCTTTCACATCGTTTTTACTATGAAGAGTAAGGAAAGGGTTCTCGACAACATTTCTTTTTCAACCGAATTTTTCCATTTTATTCATGTAAAAAAAGCAGCCTTGACCAAATGTTCTCTGATGTGGTTCACTTTGATTGACATGTCATATTCCATCTCAAAACAGGTGGCTGCAAATTATGTTGCCATGGTTCCCTCTGGCCAAATGTTCGACAGGTACCCCGTATTTGTGATCATATAATGAGATTTCCAAATCATTGTCCTTACATCTCTTGTTTTCCACAGTTTTGGTATTTGGAATTTGCATAGTTCACTCGAGAAAGGTCAGCCTTACATTTTCCGGGTCGGCTCTGGTCAGGTGAGATTCTTGCTTTTTGAGGAAATAATCTGTTTTCTATTCTTTATTTTCAACATCACTTTCAAGATTTCATATGTTGTCTAAATTATGGAGCACTTGGACACTGAGCATTTTCTTGTTTGTCGATTTTTTTTTTTTTAACTGAATTTGAAATGCTTTGAAAAGGTCATCAAGGGGCTTGATGAAGGAATCCTCGGTATGAAAGTTGGAGGCAAACGGCGACTCTACATTCCGGGACCTGTAAGAAAACATACAAATTAAATATTAGTCTCTCCCTTTCTTTATGCGTGTAGATACCGTAGTTAACGATGAATATTCAAGAAATAAAAAGGTAACTAACAATCAAAACTGCAGAATCTAATCCACACTCATCATCAAAATTTATCTACGGTGAAACTTACACACTTACATATACACCAATATATATGTTGTTATGTACATACATTGTTACGAACTGATCGTTATCAAGATGTTGAATTCTTAGATTTTTTTAATATTGTTTGATCAGTTGGCATTTCCAAAAGGCCTGGCATCAGCACCAGGAAGGCCGCGTGTGGCTGCCAATAGTCCAGTCGTGTTCGATGTCAGCTTGGAGTACATTCCCAGACTTGAGGATGATGAGTAAAATATGATCTTTATTTATTATTATTGTTGTTCTTGTTATTATGTCTTTCTTTCAACATTTTCGGGTTCCATTATTTCATTCTTTTAACTTTTGTTATATTTCATGTATAACTGGGAATTATTGGGACCTCTGTGTCAGTGGAGTTTAATGTCCAATTTTTGTTCTCTATTATGATTCTGAATAAATAGATCTTGACAAGGAAAGGAAAGCAATACCACCTGTAGTTTGTTTTTTTATTTTATTTTATTTTATTTTTTCAAAAACGGCAACATAAACTTCATTACTCCAAAGAATGTACAATCGAACAACCAACTTCAACCAGGAGAACAACTCCGCGACAAAGAGAATTGGAGAAGACTGTTGGTGTTATATACTTAAGCTTTGCTTTAGTAGATATTACACTTGTTATTCCTTGATGAATGAGAATTATGTTTGGTTAAATAAGTTCCACGTTCTGTTGTTTTGCATGTAGATAAGTGGGTCGTCGTCGGGCGTACCGAAGATCACTATATCAGTTACTTGCGAAACAAGAATCGTTGGTTCACAACCTAGATGGAATTGAACAACCCATCACGGTTGTAGTATCAACCGTACGGTTTGTCTTGACCGATTAGTTGCACAAGTACATTTATGTATTGAACAAGATCCCAGAGAGGGATGTTCGTTTTATACTAATCGTCGTAAACGAACTTGGCCTCA